ATATATATATATATATATATATATATTAGTGAGATTAGTGAGATTGTACGGTACTCAATTTATACAGTATTTTCATTATATTGTGTAGTATTTAGATACTCTAGTGATACATGTCCTTTCTATTGTGAATTTGTATATACGTTAATATACATTGTTAATTATTTTAATATATACATCCCTGAGGTTTCTCCCATTTTTCCCTTTAAACTGTGGGTTTTCTCTGGAAGTTTTTCCTTGTACGATGTGAGGGTCTAAGGACAGAGGGTGTCGTATTGTCATACTGATATTCTGTAAAAACTGTGAAGTCTACTGAGACAAATGTAACATTTGTGATATTGGGCTATATAAATAAACATTGATTGATTGACCTTTAATATATCTGTATCCTATTTTATCTTTTAAATATTTTTAACTCAAGTAATGCTTGAAAACACTGCTGCTGGGACAAATTTGTTTCCCAATTTAGGATAAATAAAGTGTCTATCGATTTATCTACGTATTGCAAACAAGAATGAAGGGTTTTTGAGAAAGTGACGAGGGAGACGTACCCTGAACAATACCTGTGCTCATGATGGAGCCCATCCTGGAGTGGGTGTGGTTTACAATGCCGGTGTTCACTGTGACCAATCGGAGAGGAAAGCAGACATTAATGATGTGTGCAGGATCAAAACAGACATTTATGCATGTAGCTTCCTGTTCTGAGCAAAAGGCGCAAAGATGGCATGTCCTTGTTTCCATTAACAAAAAGCTTTGAGGTTTTTGGTTCACAGGTTTATGATACTTTAGTGTTAAGTTTAGGAGGACATACATTGTCCGCACTTAAATATAACACCACTTATGTAATGGTTGAAGCTTACAATCTTCAGAATTAAAAAGCTCACATTAGGCTATAAACCAACTACATGTTTGTCGCATAACTTCACGTTACCACCGGTAAGCTAAAGGCGGCTAATGTTGGCACTGATGAATTTTGTTGTCCTATTCAGTCACTGGTTTGCAACCACCTTTTTTAAGACACATAAAGCTTCAAAAATTCACCAGTGGAGTATTCATAAACATTTTGTGTCATAAAACAACAAGTGAACAACTCTTCAGCTTGTATAAAACACATATCTTATTTCAGGCATCTAACCAAAAATATGTTCAAAATGACAGACTTGAAGACGGGTTTCTTATAACTGTCAGAAAACTTGTTAAAAACACTTTCACATGCTAGTTTGCCCCCTGCTAACACTTAACAGCCGAGACATTAGACAATGCTTAGGTCCTAGTGTGGTAAAGTTTTAATTTCAGTTGGAACCGAAGCTCTGAAAGCAGTTAAATTGAAGGTGTTACATTGAGTGGGAAGTCCTAAAAGAAAACAGTGCTAGATTAAAAGCATAAACTAAAGATGGGGTAAGCTGTAATGATATGGCAGTAAAAGTTCAAAAGAAGTTTGTGATTTGAAGTATATGTAATAAAAATACATGCATAAGGTATACAATATAGACATCAAATTATGACACCATCCTCCACAAAGGCTTTGTGATTAGTAACACACCGCATTTTTCACATTCAATAATCCCTTTAAACAACATCTCCCAACATGTGAGCACAGTGAGAATATGATGAGACCCTCCCCGTGTGAACAGTGCTCACTGGAGACGCGTGTTCCGCACCGCTGTAAGTACCATTAGATGTAGAGAAGTCAGGAGGAGTGCGGTTCGTACCCAGGGGGATGAGGTTGTTGTGAGACACTGATGGGCCGCTGCCAATGACTGTGCTGAGGTCATAAGCTGCAGGCATCCCTGGAGGAGACACAGACACACCCATCAACACTTCATACAGACACATCCTGACAGGCAGTGGTATAACTCAGCCACATGGGAAGCTACGAGGAGGGGGGATTCAGGGCAAACATCACGCAAAACATGATGGCTGTTGCACAATAGGTGGATTTATTATGATATTGGAGCAGGGGGGGGCCAACTCAAACTGCATGGCAGGCCACAGTAGCATCAGAATCAGAAATATTTTTAAGTCCCACAGCAAACACACAAAATTACAGTGCTACAGCTAAAGTGGCATAGCAGGTTAAAAAAAACACCAAAAAAAACACATTAGTAATACAATAAAAAAGACAAATAAGTACACAACTGTGGCTTAACAATGAGTAGCCGCAATTTAAAAACATGAAGTGACATAAATAACATTCAAGTACTAAGACCCTATAAAAAAATCGAGACTCTTGTAAAAATTTATGCTTTTACATAAAAGTGACTATAGCAAATTCAAATTCCAAGTTCAATGATGGTTACCCTCAAAGGGCTGGTGGTAACTTCAAGACTATAAGAAATATATCTACTCTTTATAATATTACATATTTGCTTTACAGTGTAGATGTAGATTTTTTGTTAAAGTAATAATTTAAAAAGTGCTGTGTAGCAGCACACTGCCTGGAGTGCTGCTGCTAGAAAACGCCTGAAAAGCTTCAGTAGTCACAAAACGAGATGCATCGTGGGACATGTAATTTATGGACACTGTACGTATGTAAAGCGGCATATAATTGATGTGCACATTTTGTTTTTGCAAACTCTCGCAGGCCACATAAAGGAGGTTTGACATTCCTGCAATCCAGAAACTCAGTCAACTTTTTGCTAAACTATCGTTAGACTGTGGGATTTAATTCAAGATTATAAAACAGGCACGTCTGGTCCTTTAAAAAGATTGGCCGAGACACTATCTGTAGACGTACAGCTGTGACCACACTACAACAGTATCACTGCACCCTTTACTCACAGAAGTTGTTCAAAGACAGGATAAAGACAGATGAATAAAGATCTAGGGACAAGATCTTGTGCTACACTCTCCGGTCCAGCAGGTGGCAGTATGTTATCTCGTTAATAATGGTTGCAACTGGTAATAATAAAAAAGAAGAAAATAAAGAAGAATGGAGACAGACGCTGAAATAATAGAGAGCTGATGGGGATTTTTTGCTTGAGCAGCACTATGCTGGCGCTTCATTGGATAACAAATCCAACATCTTTTATCTTCATACAGGCAGACAAAAGGCACCTGACATTAAAGTTATGGGTGAGCTAACGTGATATTTTAAATAACTCCATGTTTGTATTAGTAGCCTGCCTATTATTCCCACTTTTGTGTAGTTATAGTGACTTTGTGTACTTGTGTGTAGTTATAGTGACTTTGTGTACTTTTGTGTAGTTATAGTGACTTTGTGTACTTTTGTGTAGTTATAGTGACTTTGTGTACTTTTGTGTAGATAGTGACTTTGTGTACTTTTGTGTAGTTATAGCGAGTCGGTGTTTCCATAAGAAAAAACTAATAATTTACAGAACAAATGGGAAATGTCCATCAAATATAATCTATTTATTATTGAGCTTGAAAAAATGCAGTGCTTTATAAAAAATGACATACTCCAGGCATGTGCATTTATATTTTATTGAAATTGTGAAATGAAAGCTTGCATGACTGCAGAGCTCTGTCTGTAGTGCTATCTGTACCGCAGTGCATCAATAACGCGCACGGTTATGGCTCGTTTTGAAGTGTATACAACCATTGTCAATAAACTATCTCCAGCCAGAATCAGCAAAATAGGAGAGTCAGTAAACGTCCGCTCACAGGGGCGCATTCAAGCTTTAAGAGGAAATATATTGTCCTCACATACATATAACACCACTTTTATGTAGTTGAAGCGTTATTACAATCTCCAGAATAACTAGCTAAAGTTAGGCTATAAATAAACTACATGATGGTCGCATAACTTCACATCAACACTGCTAAGCTAAAGGCAGCTAATGTTAAGTGTGATGATGTTCAGTTCTATTCAGTCACTTGTTTGCAACTGCCTTGACAAAAGACATTCACCAGTGGTATATTTATCAACATCTTTTATGTCGTAGGATAAATGTGAAAATCTCTTCAGCTTGTATAAACCACAGGTCCTATTTCAGGCTTCTAACCAAAAACATATGAAGAAAAACTTTAACTTTGAGACGAGGGAACCCCGAAGTGATCGATCTTGTATAACTGAGTGAAAATTTAGCAGACAACAGCTAATAGTACAGCCAATTAGGTATACATAAACTTCTTCACCAAACCAATTGGATTATTTATATCAATATAATAATTGAAGTAACTTCCTGATGTTAAATCGTCCTTCATCTGTCTTTGTGGGACGTGTGCTCTTTAGAGAACATTAGAAAAGTAAAATGATGTGCCCAGGTCGCGCTGAAAAATAAGTGTGTGTGCGGTGGATTTGAGCGCACAAAACTGTAAATATTATTTATCCTCGGAAAATTAAGTCCTGAAGGCATCAATTATTTTTTCCCCACCCAGTTTAGATTTAGCCACGCCCACTGCTGCATTATGAAAGCATCGACTCAGTCAGCCTTGGATTTTCATCCCACGAAATATGAATTTGTCATCTACAGTCGCTTCATAGAGCATTTTTTACAAAGGCAATTGATCAAAAATAGCGCTTTAAAAAAATATATATATATGACTGACGATGACAGTTATGCACAGCTGAGTAAATGTTAGTTCATCTTTTAATATTAATTCACCCTGGATTTAAGAAGAATAAACAAGCAAACAATCTGTAGCCTATTGCCTTGTTTGTCACATTTTTTACATTAGTATAGTATTTGAGTATATGTAATTTGTTACTTTCCAACACTCTTAGAGAATATTAAATATTCCTCTTGACACTACATTTATTAAATATAGCGGCCCACATCAGTTTTTATTCACAATCTAGAGCAGACGTGATAATACTTCTGTGTTGTTAACATGGGAACAGCATATTCTCGGTATACGTCCATAAGCAATCACGCTGAGCTACGTCGATGCTGAAGTGGGCGTGGTTAAATCGAAATTGGGTTGGAAACATGATAGACGCGCCCTGGAGTGTTCTTACAGTGATGGCATCTCGTTGTGCGCTTTTGAAATCGATGAGAGCGGCTGAAAGCGTATTACTATTAAAATATGATCCACTTATAGTCTGGTTGCCAACATAGTGAACATGGAAATGTTGACTACCCCAAAGGTTACTGTTAGAAATGATAGTACGGGTCCCCAGAACATAGAAACTGCTGGATGCTAACATGCCTATGTTGGGCAATTTGCACACTAAGCATTAGTTGCGTTTATTGAAATGAATGGCATTATAGCCTATGTAAACAATAGTAAAACAAAGACTTTGCTGATTTGGAAAATGTTGAGGTGGTTTTAGGGGTCATTTCTGAAATTTTCAGGATCAACAATTGCCGTTTTAAATAGAAAGTGGCCATATTTGTACTCCCGGCTGGGCTGATTTTGACTACCATGAGTAGTGTTGCAAACATTGAAAATAGAGCACAAATTGAAATGATTACCTCTACTGTGGACAATTATCTTTCAAATAAATAAGCAATTTGTTCAATCAAAATGATCCAGAGCCTCCTAAACCTTCAAAATGGACCCAAAATGTATTAAAATCCGAGGGTATAAATATGGCCACTTTCTTGGCCAGAAATAGACTAAGAATTCTCAATAACCCGCCAAAACCACTCAAACTGTCCAAATCGGCCAAGCCATTTTTGAACTCAATATTTCCAGGTTCACTACAGGAATATGAGCTGGCAACTAGACTATTCTCCACGATAAGCGTGAAGCGGTGAAGCTGTGCCCACTGTGAACACATGGACTTCCAGCAGTGTCTGTGTGTGTTCACCTGATACAGCCATGCCCTGCCCCATGCTGTAGGCCCCCGTGTTCCACATGTTCTCAGACGGGGAGGTGTAGTGTGAGCCGGGAGGGGGGTTGGGGGTAGTGCCTGTGTACCTGCAGATACATACACACACATTTAACATGGGCGAGGCGGACAGCGCTCCCCTCTCACATGATTCATGGAGCTGAGATCAAGGAGTGTTTCTGAGCTCAGGAGACCCCCTCACCTGAAAAAGGGATTCTTCAAGTCCAGGAGGTTGCTGGACTTTGATCCCGTCTGGTCCACCTGGGCAACAATACTGATGTCGTAGCTTTGTCTGTGGAGAAGGATCCAATCACATTAAGTTAGCATATTAGTATAATACCATTGTTATTTCAATGCATGACAACAAAAAATCTCCAGAGAAACTGCGAGCTGCGGTCCAATAGTCAAAGTATTCATGTCCTAAGTCTTTTCCTAACCAATTTTACCAATGTATCGGAGAATCCATGATTACTTAGAAATAACAAAATTACAACTGGAAAAGAGGAGGGGGGTGCTGTGTACATCAGTGAGGCCTGGAGCTCAAACTTCAATGTTTATGGATACAAATTGAAGAAGAAGCTTAGAACATCCTTAAATTCATAGTTGGAGCCATTTTAATTTAACAAGATTAGTATGGTTGGAATACTGTTTAAATGCTTTAGATCAGGGGTGGGGAACCTCCGGCCCCGGTCCGTGAGGCCATTTGATACCGCCCTCGAGGTAATTTATAAACACATGCAAAAAATAAATAATTAAAAAAATCTAGACTGCAAAAGAATTAAACAAGCGAGTGCCTGTTTTTCCTGGCCACGGTCTGGGTCCTTGAACACAACACGAGCCTAATGTGTCATCGCGTGGTATATGTCTCGTCTGGCAGGGGTGTAGTGCTGACGGAGCGCTCCGGCACTTCACAAATTGCAGTACCCATAAGGAGCTGTACAAATTCCACAGTTTTTGCGTGGCTGTGTCTTTAGTTGAAAGCCCAGTGGCGATCTATTCATCTGGCATACTGATCATACAGTCAATAGCGCATTCGAAAATAATATGATACAGTACAGTAACTACTGCTGGGTCTTTGTGTGTCATTCAAGCTCGGCTGAGTGTGTGTGTGTGTGTGTGTGTGTGTGTGTGTGTGTGTGTGTGTGTGTGTGTGTGTGTGTGTGTGTGTGTGTGGCAGGAGCGTATTTTGTTTAAGCGAGCGAGTGTTTGAAGATGTGAAGATGTATCCATAGATCTCCTAATGTTGCTCTCAAAGTGCACCAGATTGATGCTTTTAACTTCAATATTTAAAAAAATCTTCCCGGAGGAGCTTGCCCCCGGACCCCCCTAGAGCAGCAGTTCTCAAACTGTGGTCCGTGGAAAAAAGCTAAATAAAATCCACTTTTTATTGCTCTATCGAAATCAGTCGCATTGACCCGAAGACACATTTTGAGTTGTATACACTGTTGGAAAGAGGAAATTCCTAGCTTTCTAATGATATCAGGCAGTGGGGCAGTGGTCGTTGGGCTCATCGGACATTTATAAGAGAAAATCTCTAATGTCCGTGTGCAAGGCACGAGCCTTGTAACCCCTCCCCCGGCGCGAGCGTGGAAATATGATTGGCGGCGATTTCATTTGAACAGGACGGCGCAAAACGAGAAGCATCCGGACCTGTACTGTAGACGAAATGAAAAAGATATTTGCGGTCTACAATGACAGAGAAGAGACTGTCAAGTTTGGCTGTACTCAGCATTGAATCAAAACGCACTAAAGCTTTGGATCTTAATCTGTTTGTGAGGCGTTTTGCTGAACAACATGGTAATAGCTGCATCATAACAGTGATTGACAGCTGATATGATAATATTAACAATCATATTATTCCTATGAATTCAGACAAACATCGATGAGACAGTTAATGAATGTACTTATTGCAGCAGACTTTATATATTTGGTACCCCTGGTCTAAGAGTGAAACAAACTCATTCAGTTATTGTTCAGTTAAAATGCATTCAAATATGTCTGCCATCTTATATATTTCTATTTAAGGCTTTACTGATGTGCCACAATAATGTCACCTAATGTTATTGAGTTCAAATATCAATATTGTGGATTTCCAAGTTAAAAGGTGACCTATCATGCAAAATGCACTTTTGTACGTCTTTTATACATGAATATGTGTCCCCGGTGTTCCAGGGAACTCACCAAGTGTCAGAAAACACAACCCTCTCCATTTTCCTCCATACCCAAATCTCTTAAAGACGGTGTAGTACATATGCCAGGCCTGTAGATGGTGCTGTTCTCACAGAATCAGCCCATGAAAAGACAGTGTTAAATTGAGCGAAATGAGGAATGGCTAAAATGCATGATCTGTTTGGTATTTTGAAAAATAAAAAATATAAATATGCCTTATATAGGTATGGTCCTACACTATATTATTCAAATATAGCATGATAGGTCCACTTTAACATTGATTGATATCAGCGACGGACAGTCAGGGGAGGCAGAGCCTCACCTGTCATACTCCAATGTAACGGAAAAACAACTAAAGAAAAACTAAATAGTAATAATAATAAAATGTCTCCACTTATCTGTGTTGTAAATGTGATTTATGTATGATTCCAATCGCTCGATTTGGATTTACTCCCACCAAATGGACTTCAAAAATGGAAAACCTTATATCTACCCTTAAACATTTCTCAAAGTTGGACTTTCAATCAAAACAAGCAGTGATAAACAATGGAAGACCCGATGCCTGAGCTTAAGGACCTTCTTCAAACTAACGGACAGAAAATAACACGTTTGTTTCAAACTGAGTGGTACCAAAAAAAAGACTGGCTGTGTGGCTGTGCTATGAAGAATCGACTTTACTGCTTTCCCTGCCTTTTGTTCTCCA